TATTATTTACGTGTCACTGCTATTTAATTGTGTCGTTTGGTTCCTATTATAGTTTTTGTGTTGTTTTCTAATTGTTGGTTGTTCGTTGCAGTTGTTTTATGTGGATAAGGTTGTCTTGTCGATAAGATCCGTTGCAAGATCCTTTCCTACATTTGTGTCATGGAGCAATGAGTTACTAAAGAACAGGGAGCGGGATGAGATTTCGTCAGGAGCAATGAGTTACTAAAGAACAGGGAGCGGGATGAGATTTCGTCAGGTGCCTTTGGAAGGGGGTTTATTGATGCCGACACGCATGTGGCTGCTGACTACCACCAGTTGGATGGGGCTGCCGCTGCTACTACCAACGACACTGCTCGGAGCACAATGGAACACACTATACATGTATGTGTACTCGTATGCAGATGTTCTTTTCGTTTTTTTTTTTTATACTGTATTATATTGTGCCTGTCATTGTGTGGTTGTGTGCATCAATATGTGTACTATTGTGCAGCATGAATACAGATGTTCCGTTGTTTTATATTTTTTTTTTCTCTTTTTGTAAACAGGAGTATGTTCAAAAGTTTGCGTCTAAAACTCGCCTTCTTGCTACAACTGGAGATGAAATCCTACAATTGGTTGACCAAGCACCCCAAGTTATAGTTGGAGATGAAAACTTTTTGAAAATGCAAGATGCTGCACAAAAGCTTCTGGGCGTGTATACCGGTGCGTCGAATGAGAACTCCAGCCAGCCCAACGCGAGTCAGAAAATGGGTGCGGCCCCCGTGCATGATGGAGCTAATGATACCGGAGAGGTTCATGTATCCCAGCTAATAGACGATACATTTTGGAACGACCCCGAAACATTGTAAGCGATAGATTCAATTGAGAAGGCAGTCAAGTGGCGTAACACTCTTAACGAACGTCTGAAGAGAATGTTACGCGACGGCCCTAGTTTTAGCTTGGGAATCTCATCGGATGATGACGAGTTCAACCAGAATCGAACCACAGGCAGGGCTTCCCCGACTCCGAACAAAAATCCTCAGACAACCGATAAGTCACCCGTAGTAGTCACCCCGACTCCCGACAAAAATCCTCAGACAGCCGAGAAGTCGCCCGATGTAGTCACCCCGACCACCGATAAAAATCCTCAGACAGCCGAGAAGTCGCCCGAAGTAGTCGCACAACTAGGTATTTGTGAAATTTACATCATTTGTTTCATGCATTTCTGATGTTGGTCTATGTAGAGTTTACCTGAATATGAAACTTTTTGGTGTTA